ATCAATGAAACAAAAAGTTGTTTTTTTGAGAAGATAAAATTTACAAGCCATTAGGGAGGCTAACTAAAAAAAGAAGATACAAATAACAAAAATTAGAAATGAAAAAAGGAGATATTACAACCAATACCTCAGAAATACAAGGAATCATTAGAGACTACTATAAACAACTATGCACCAACAAATTAGAAAATCTGGAGGAAATGGATAATTTTCTAGACACACACAAGCTACCAAGACTGAACCAAGAAGACGTAGAAAATCTGAACAGACCAATAACAATTGAAGAGGTTGAAGCTATAATCAGCAGTTTCACAAAAAAGAAAAGCCCAGGACCAGATGGCTTCACTGCAGAATTCTACCAAACCTCTAAAGAAGAATTAATACCAGTTCTCTACAAACTATTCCAAAAAATCGAAACAGAGGCCATTCTCCTGAACCCATTCTATGAGGGAAACATCACCCTGATACCAAAACCAGACAAAGATACAACAAAAAAAGAAGACTACAGACCAATATCTTTGATAAATAATAGATACAAAATTCTCAGTAAAATACTAGCTAATAAAATACAGCAACATATACATAAAATTATACACCATGATCAAGTGGGATTCATCCCAGGGATGCAAGGTTGGTTCAACATATGCAGATCAATAAATGCAATATACCACATCAGCAGAATCAAAGACAAAAACCATATAATCATCTCTGGATGCTGAAAAAGCATTTGACAAAATTCACCATTCATGATAAAGACTGTATAAATTGGGTATAGAAGGAAAGTACCTCAACACAAAGCCATATATGACAAACCCACTGCCAGTATCATCCTGAATGGGATGTATCATCCTTAAGAACAGGAACAAGACAAGGATGCCCACTCTTGCCATTCCTATTTAACACAGCATTGGAAGTACTAGCCAGAGCAATCAGAAGAGAAGGAAATACAGGGCATCCAGGTTGGAAAAGATGAAGTCAAAGTGTCCCTGTTTGCAGATGATATGATTGTATATATAGAACAGCCTAAACACTCTACAAAAAACCTCTTAGATTTGATAAATGATTTCAGCAAAGTTGCAGGATAGAAAATCAACACGCAAAAATCAGTAGCATCTTTATACTCTGAGAATGAACTAGCAGAAAAAGAAATCAAGGAAGCTAGCCCATTTACAATAGTCACTAAAAAAATAAAATACCTAGGCATAAAGTTAACCAAGGATGTGAAAAATCTCTGCAATGAGAACTGCAAACCACTGTTGAGAAATTAAAGTGGACACAAGAAGATGGAAAGATATCCCATACTCTTGGATTGGATGAATTAACATTATGAAAATGTCCATACTACCCAAAGTGATCTACAGATTCAACACAATCCCCATCAAAATTCCAATGACATTCTTCTCAGAAATGGAAAAAAACAATTCTAACATTCATGCAGAGTAACAAAAGACCATGAATAGCCAAAGCAATCCTGAGCAAAAAACCAAAACAAAACAAAACAAAAACTGGAGGCATAACACTACCTGACTTTAAACTATACTACAAAACTATAGTAACCAAAACATCATGGTATGGACATAAAAACAGACACATGGACCAATGGAACAGAATAGAGAATCCAGAAATCAACCCATACACCTACAGCCATCTGATCTTTGACAAAGGCACCAAGACTACACACTGGAGAAGAGAATGCCTCTTCAGTAAATGGTGCTGGGAAAATTGGACATCCATATGTAGAAGAATGAAGCTAGATTCATACCTCTCACCATATACCAAAATCAACTGAAAGTGGATTAAAGAATTAAATATACATCCTGATACAATAAAACTCCTCAAAGAAAACATAGCAGAAACACTTCAGGATGTAGGATTGGGATAGACTTTATGAATACAACACCAAAAGCATGGGCAACCAAAGGAAAAAATAAACAAATGGGATTATATCAAACTAAAAAATTTCTGCACAGCAAAAGAAACAATTAATGGAGTGAAAAGACAACCAACAGAATGGGAGAAAATATTTGCAAAATATGCATCTGACAAAGGATTAATATCCAGAATATACAAGGAACTAAAACAACTTAATGCAAAAAGACAAGTAACCCAATTAAAAAATAGGCAAAGGATCTGAATAGGCATTTCTCAAAGAAAGATATACAAATGGCCTGTAGACATGTGAGAAAATGCTCAACATCACTCAAGATTTGGGACATGTAAATCAAAACCACTTTGAGAGACCATCTTATTCTAGTTAAGATGGCTAATATCTGATAGACTGAGAATGATAAATGCTGGTGAGGATGTGGAGAAAAAGGAACCCTTGTACACTGTTGGTGGGACTGCAAAATGGTGCAGGCTTTATGGAAAATGGTTTGGAGGTTCCTCAAATAATTACAGATAGATCTACCATATGATCCAGCTGTACAACTGCTGGGTATATACCCAAAGGAATGGAAATCATCATTTTGAAGGGATCTGTGTACTTCCATGTTTATTGTAGCACTATTTACAATAGCAAAGAGTTGGAACTGCCTAAATGCCCATCATCAGATGAGTGGATAAGGCATACCCAAAGGAATGGAAATCATCATTTTGAAGGGATCTGTGTACTTCCATGTTTATTGTAGCGCTATTTACAATAGCAAAGAGTTGGAACTGCCTAAATGCCCATCATCAGATGAGTGGATAAGGAAACTGTGGTATATCAGCACAATGGAATACTACTCTGTTGTAAAAAAAGAAAGAGATGCTACCATTCGCAGCAACATGGATGGACTTAGAGAAAATTATGTTTTCTCTAAACCACATGTTCTCACTTATATTTGGGATCTAATAAAATTAAATAAATAAATATACAAATGAGTAAACGGAGTGGGAGGGTGACACAACAATCATAATAATTCCTTGAATTTCCTAAGATAAGTGTACAGATATGTTTTTGGCCGTGGGGGGTGGGGGAAGGAGTGGGAAAAAGGAAGAATTGGTAAAGGGGCACAAAAATCAACTACATTGTATATTGATAAAATAAAAAATAAATTAAAATAAATATTTAACATTATACAAAGTTTTGGCAGATTTAAATACATAGCATTTTCTCAAAAAATGTAAAAATGCATATTAGTTATTTCTTTGTAAAGACATGTAATTGTATATGTGAAATTGAAATGCCAACGAAAGTAAGATTGTTTTTCAAAAGAAAAGAGAAAACAAAAAAAAGTGCAACTTTTTGTAGAAAATTAAAAGCTAAAGAGGAGAGATCACTTCTTGGCCTTTTGGCTAAGATCAAGTGTAAAAGCTAAAGCGGAGAATGTAGTTAGACCAAATTAAAGTAAGTCTGTTATAACCAGGGCTAATTAGAACAGCTTGCTGTATTGGATGCTATTCTTTCTGCTCCATAACAACTTAGCCTTATCAAAATAGTTTAGCAATTGTTTTCAAAATCAACATCATTAATGACATGATGTGTGTGCCTTTATATATTTATTGTCCTTCTGTGAAATAAAAGTCATGTTCTAGTTACTTTATTCCAAAGTAATAAAAAATAAGCTATAATGTGAAAAAATAAATGACAAATTATCTCTGAATTTCCACCTCTATCTTTAACATTTTAAAATTTTCCTTATATGTTCATATTCCTTGTGTGTTTAGTAGAAGCCAATTTAAAATAGATGTATTTATTTTGGGAAGTTTTCTTTTTGATTAAATTTTGAGGTATCAAAGTTGAAAGAAAAATTTTTATTGTATTTTTTCTCTGAAAAAAATTATTTTTCTTTCAACAGTGTTTTGTAGTCTTGTACTTCTTTTGTTAATTTTATTCCTAAGTATTTTATTTTTTTAATGCTATTATAAATGGAATTGTTTCCTTAATATCATTTCAGATCATCATTGCTAATGTCTAGAAATATAACTGTTTTTTGTACATTGAATAAAAAGTGTGTACTCTTCCCCACCTTTTTGATTGCATTTAAGAATTTTATTTCTATTCTTAACTTTGATTTTTATCATCTATTTATATAACGAACATGTATTGTGTGCCTCTTATGCACCCTGATATATTAGATTTTAAAATAAATACATAGAGAAGGGGAGAGGGCTGACCAGTTAGCTTAGTTGGTTAGTGTGCAGCCTTGTAACACCAAGGTCATGGGTTTGGATCCCTATACCGGCCAGCCACCAAAAGAAAAAAAAAGGGGGAGAAGACAGAGTTTCAGCTGAGAAAACAGCATAAAAGATTTAAAAGTATATGGTATATTTATGTTGTTACTAAACAGTAAAGCATCAAAAGTTGCAGTGCTTTAGAAAGATAAAAGTTATGATCAGTCTCTAGAGAACCTTGAATGACATGTTGAAAAGTTTGACTTTGTTCTGTAGGTCTATCAAAACCAGTGAAGGCTTTGATGATAAGAAAAAAAAATCAGGTTATATATTGAAAATATATACAAGATTATATACAGGTTATGTACAAGAAAATACTTTGGCAGTGTTGAGAAAGAAATAGAAAAATACAGTATTACGAATATTGAATAAAATAAATAAAACTTCGGCTCTTTTAAAATGTTATTTGGTAGTATTGAACTAAGAGTTTTAAATATAGTTTTTCCTTGAGGTCTTTTAACTTGTTACTTTATCAACAGTCCCCTTCCAGACTCCGCTATATAAAATGACCTTTTTCTTCCACTCTACATTTATTTTCCTCTGTAGCATTTAGTAACGTCAATTGTAGTATATAAACCCACTTGTTTGGCTACTGTCTGTTTCCTTCTTACAAGATTGTAAGTTCCATGAGAGCAAGGACTTTTGTTCAGTGTTTCTCCCAGTGTTTAGAACAGTGTCTAATTTATAACATTTAATAAATATTTAAGTGAATTAATAAATATTCAAATTAAGATGATCACAATGTTTTATGTGGTTTATAATGTGGGGCAGCAGTAAGATAAGGTCTTTGTTCCTTCCTAAAAAGTCCTGTTTAAAAGTTGTTTCTTTTCCCTTTCTTCCAGAGTTTATATTCAGAGCACCAATCAAATTAAGCAAGGCTGGGGAACTTCGTGAGGAATTTGAAAGCCTGAGAAAGGTATAGTATGTATATTGTCATGACATTTATTTTCTTAAATTGAAATAATGACACTAAAGAATGCTTAGTGGGAGTTTTGATTTACAGGTTGAGTATCCCTTATCCAAAATGCTTTGGACCAAAAGTATTTCAGATTTTGGATTTTTTTTGATTTTTGGAATATTTGCAGAATATATACCAGTTGAGCATCCCTAATCAAAAAATCCAAAATTCACAATGCTCAAATGAGCATTTCCTTTTGAGTGTCATGTTGGTGCTCAAAAAGTTTCGGATTTTGGAGCGTTTCGATCTTTGGATTTTTGGAATAGGGATGCTCAACGTGTACTAGGGTTTTTTAAAATTCACAATGAAGAGCTTGTCTTTCTTTATAATTCCTTATACCAGTCCAGTGAGATTTGGAGCTATAATGGAAGTACAGTATACCTTAACTAATTCCTTCTTAGTTCTTTCAAAGGTGAAAATGTAGCTCACAGGGCCTATCACAACTGCTACAATAACTGGCCACCAAGAGATGTATTCTTGGCACCTTTAATTAATTCCTTCTTAGTTCTTTCAAAGGTGAAAATGTAGCTCCCAGGGCCTATCACAACTGCTACAATAACTGGCCACCAAGAGATGTATTCTTGGCACCTTTAACAAGTGTTATTGCTAATAATTGCTTGTATTATTTTTTCTCTCATCTTGCAAGGTTCCTCTAATTATACATAGCTGGTGTTATTTTTTATTGCTTTCACTCTAAGTACTCCAGAAGAACTGTAACATAGGCCAGTAATGGGGTAGTGAGATTTCTTAGTTAGAAAATGTTTACCATTAGGAAAGCTTTTAGCTATGTTCACATCATGTTATTTTTGATGTTTTCAAACTAATTGGGAATCAGCTACAGAATTAAGAGTCCAAAAAGGCTGGGAATAAGAAGTATGTTGCTGGATTTGTGTCATTCTTCCCTGGCCTTCTCCCTGTACCTGCCTTCCCTCATCCACCCTTGTAATAGATTAGGTAGTCATTCTACACATGGATATTTAATATTTTATAAAGGTAAGTAATCCACTTAATCTGATTCAGGCATCATTGTAAAACAGGAGTGAGACAATAACATTATTGTCACATTTTATATTGAATGAAAAATCAGTGTTTAGCAAAGCATCTTAAATAGAAAAGATAATGGAAAACTGCTTAATTACTATTGTTTTTTGACCTTCCCTTTTAAATGACAGTATCATATGTTGACTTGGATCCTCATGCTCCTTTTATATTGGTACACTTACAAAGCTTTTTTTTCTATATAGAAAAAATTATTTTCAGGAACTACATCAAAAGAACTATTGGTTCTTCTTATATTAGTCTCTCAAATTTCAGAATATGCAGATATTTACTACTGAAATACCTTTTCAGAAACATTGAGAATATGGGATTTTTTCTTTTGGCAGTTGGCTGGTATGGGGATCTGAACCCTTGACCTTGGTGTTATAACACTGGTCTGTAACCAACTGAGCTAACTGGCCAACCCCCAAGAACATGGAAATTTTAAAGCCGGTTTGAGTATAATCTTAAGGAGGGAAAACAAGGAGTTGGAGAAAAAGGAGATAAAGAGAAGGCATAGTAAGATTAGAGGATTTTTATAAGCTTTGGGAAAGAGAAAGAAACCTTGATGAACTGTATTTTTGTTCTTGTTAGGAGGGAGGGACAGGACAGTGGTTTTAAAAGGAGTTGATGATGTAATGTTGTTACTGAGTGAAGGCAGGACAATCTCATCCTGTGTAAACTGGCTTGGGTTTGAGAGACACTCACCTATGTCATTTGGGGTAATTAAAAGTTAGCTACAGGTTCCTCTCTCCCATCCTAATTACCCAAGTTATCATATATCCATTGTACAGTCTGAAAATGGAAATCCAAGACATAAAAGCAAAAGGTGCTAATATGGCCTATCCATACAATGGAATACTATTCAGCAATAAAAAGGAATGAAACGCTGATTCGTGCTACCACATTATGAACCTCAAAAAGATACTAAGTGAAAGAATCCAGATACAAGAGATCATATACTGTATGATTGCATTTATAGAAAATGTCCAGAATAGACAAGTGTATAGAGACAGAAGATTAGTAATTGATTGGAGCAGGGGGTGGGAACAGGAATTAACAGTAAATGGGCATGAAGGATTTTATTGGAGTGATGAAGATTTCTAAAACTGATTTATAGTATATTTAACAACATTGTAAATTTACTAAAAACTATTAAATTATATACTTGAAATGGGTGAATTATATGATATGTAAAATATGCCTCAAGCTATAAAAAATATTAAAAGGCACTAAACATTTGGACGGAGGATTATATAGAGAAAAAGATGTCTGTTAGAATACTGTCTTCTGAAACAAAGCAAATTCTATTTATAATTATTTGGATGATTTCCCAAGGGAGGAAGACCTTTAAAAGTGTCTACTGAGCAAGGAATGGTAAATAGAAGTGAATTCTACACAACTCATTATTACTAATTTAATATATAACATAATACTAATATACTTTATTGTTTTAAGTGACAGTAAAAACCTTTATAAGGGCTGTAAAAAGTTACCAAGAAATTTTATTCCCCTAATTCTAGTTCTTTCAGAAGTGTTACTATAACAATCATAGATTATCTCCTATGGTGGATTTTAGGAACAAACCAGATTGGGGTAAGGGAACTACTATACAGCAGAACTGATTTCTCTCTTTTTTTTTTATTGGTTATGGATATTCATGTGATACAAAGCTGATTGTCACTCCTCATGCCTATGATGTGAGGGCCAGATTCATACTGGCAAGTTGCATTTGTACCCTGTGTCCCCCACCCAGTTACCTCCATTTTGTAGCCCATAGAATGTTCTCTCCCTCTGCAAGTCCAACGCACTACTGTCAGAACTGATTTCTTTCAGGTACTGAACCAGGGTCTAGGGGCCTGCTAAAGACAGAGAGGTGTGTTCTTAATGTCCTCTCTAGCCTAAGACCTTTGAGTTTTATGCTTACTGAAGTTACTGTAAGTTCTAAATTTTATGATTTTGTGAATAGATTTATATCTTTAAATATGTTTAAATTTTTTTCTTTCTGCCATGTGTTGCAGTTAATTTTATCTTTTTTAACATAAGAAAAATAATGCAGAAATATGCAGAGTGAAATGTGAAAGTGCCCCTTTACCTTTCTTCCCAGTGTCTTCCTTGAGGTAACAAGTGTTAATAGTTCAGTGTATATCTCAGACCCCTTATGTGCTTGTGCACACACACACACACACACACGCTTTAGTTTTTTCCAGCATAAATGAGATCATAATGTATATTTATTAATTAATCACATATTTATTTTGCTCTAATATGTGTCATGCACTGTGGATACAGTGTTAAAGTTGATACCCAGGGTCCCGTAATAACTTCGTATAGCATACATTATACGAAGTTATACGAAGAAATGGAAAAAAACAATTCTAACATTCATGCCAAGGGAATTCCTTTCTAGTGGGGAAGACAGACAAGAAATAAGCAAACAAATATTTAATATATGTTAATAAAGCAGGGTAAGAAGAGCTCTAAGGGGGTGGGAGGGAAACTTGAGGAGACACAAAAAGACAGTGGTTAGTTAGTCTCTCAGAGGAGGAATCATTTGAACTGAGACCTGAAAAAGGCAAGGGAGCAAACCAAGTAAAGGTATGAGTAAGGAGCATTCCAGGCAAAGGGAGCAGCAAATGCAAAGGCCCTGAGACAGAAACAAGTTTGGCTTGTTCAAGGAACAAGGTCAGTGTGGCTGGAGCTGAGTGTGCATGTGGGAGTGGAAGGGTGGTATGAGGATTTGGTAGGAGATATGTTGGAAGACATACAAGGTCAAGGAAAGCCTATCTGACACGGTAAAGAACCTAAATTTATTTTAGGTATGATGGGAAACCAGTAATATGATCTGACATTTACTTTTAAAAGGTCTCTGGTTGCTATGTGGGGAATAGATTGTAATGAGCCTCAGAGACCCCCAAATAATAACTCAAACAAATTAGGTATGTGGGATTCCTGCTAAATGAGTAGATTTTTGCTGCTCTTGCCATAAAAACAAACAGAAAAAATGGGTAACTATGTGAGATGATGGATGTTATTTTGCTTCACTATAGTAACCATTTTGCTGTCTACATGTATCCCATAACATCATGTTGTATTCCTTAAATATACACAATAAAGCTTATTTAAAAAACAGATTAGGAGTTTTATTTTTCTCAGGTAACAAAAAAACTGGAGGTAGGCAGACAGGGCTAATATGGCAGCTCCATGACATCAGAGATTTGGGCTCCTTTTGTTTTTCTATTTAGACATCTTCAAGTGTACTTGTCTCCTTGTGGTGTGAGATGGCTGATCCTTCTCTAGAATTACATCCAGGCAGAAGGGGACAGGCCAACTGAATGAGGTCATTTTACAGAGCTTTTTCCAAAGACCCCCTCCCAGGGCATTCACCCGTATTTTATAGTTCAGTTTCACAGATTCCCTCTAGGTGCTAGGGAGGCTGGGAAGCATACATAATATTTTAGCTAGGTATGTTAACTTCCTGAATAAAATCAGGGCTCTCCCAATAAGGAAGCAGAAAATGGATATTGGGTAGGCAGCTAGCAGTCTCTGCCTCATGAGACAACAATGAAAATAGGACCAGGTAGGACACTTTTGGAGTAAGCAATGTGTTGGGTTTAACCAGGCTTGGAATTTTGCGTGAAGTATGACAGTGAGAGGTGCAGTGGACTTGAAGTTGTATACAAGGAAGTTATTATAGTTTTGGATCATGGATCTAGGTTATATAAAGACATGAGGGATATAATGGACAATGAAAGAGTGATAGGGTCAATGGACTGGAAGCTTTGGTGGTGAAAAAGAATATTAAAAATAGGATCACTAGCATATAAATAAAACTGGAAAGCTAGGAAATGGTGATCTAAATGTGAAAAGCTTAAATGGGAAGTGGGTAAATTGGAAGGTGGTTTATTTATTGGACATCA